CGCTCTAGAATTATTTTGAGGTCTCTTTCCATTGTTTATTGTTGCCTGTTGGCTTGGTGCAGCTGATCTTCCAGCTCACTTATTCTGTCTTCAGCTGTGGTCATTTTACTGTTGCGGGCACAGACTGTGTTTTTTATTTCACCTACGGAATCTTTTATTTGTGACATTTTGGTGCATAGTTTTCCAATTTCTGCTCTCATTTCTTCCCGTAATTTCTTGATTGTTTCTCTCATATTACTGGATATCTGTGTCACTGTTTCATTGAGTTCATTGAACATCTTCATGACTTCATATATGAATTCTTAGAGAGATCCTTTAGGTGAGTAGCACCTACTGAGGTTTCTGGACTCTTCATTGTTCTCTTCATGTGGTGGAAATTTGTGTTGTTTCTTCATGTTGGTGTGGAGGTATGGAGACTGAGATGTTACACGAGATTACTGGATATGAGTAAACTGCTTGTGGCCCAAAATTAGGCCACACCCATTTCTACAGAGATTACGCCCACTTCTTCAGAGGCCATGCCCCTACGGGTACCTGGTGTGTGGGTGGGTACTAGCTGGGAGGGGAAGAAGACTGGCACAGCTTTGCAGATGGAAAGGAGGCTCAGGGATGCTGTTGTCCAAGAGTCCTAGAGGACTCCTGGGGCACTTGCGCAGAAAAAGCCAAGTCCCCGCTTCCAATACTGGAGGATTAGATGACCGGGCAGGGGAAGAAGACCTGCACAGCGTTGGGGATGAAGGGTGATTGTTATGTTTTTTGGATGGGGAGGTGTAAGGCACTGGGCATGGAACCTAGGGCTTCTTACATGCCAAGCATGCCCTTTACCACAGATCTTTGTCCCTGGCCCCCAAAATGGAACTGTTTTTGAAACTGACTAATATCACATAGCCTGATTACTTGTTTTCCCCTTCTGTTTCTGGTGGAAGCCACATGTTCTACATGAAATGATGTGACTTAACATAAGAAAGCCATCAAAACATTCTTTTTTTTTTTTTTTTGCTTTTTGGGGGTCACACGTGGTGCTGCACAGGGGTTACTCCTGGCTCTGCACTCAGAAATTACCACTGGTGGTGCTCAGGGGACCATATGGGATGCTTGAAATCAAACCTGGGTAAAATCTACCTGCTGTAGTGTTGCTCCAGCCCCCTTCAAAACATTCTTTTTATTTTTTTAATTTAATTGAATTTTTTAAAATTTATTAATTGAATCACCATGAGAAAAGTTACAAAGCTTTCAGGTTTAAGCCTTGGTCATACAATGATCAAACACCCATCCCTTCAGCAGTGCTTATTTTCCAGCACAAGGAATCCCCATATATCCCCACATTCCACCCCTCCCGATGCCTGTGATGCAGATGATTTCCACTTAACTCTCGCTCTCTCTGCTTTGATTACATTCATTATTTTGGCAAAAAATGCACCATTATTATTTGGAATTTTCCCCCAACAATCAGACCTGCTGAAAAGGCATTGTGCATTAATTTTTTTTATTGCTGGTTATGAAGACCATTGCGGCCGCGTGATATTGGATATCTGATATTTTACTAATTAAGTCTGGAGGGATTTCTGCCAAAAGCTGCATAGTTCTGAGATTGGTTTGTGTGCCTTTGGGGCTATGGCCATGCCGGAGAGCCACTCGTGGGGGGCAGCTTGTGGTCTCTGTGGGGCGTGAAGGACGTGCCAGTTCCGCCCCCCATCCCATGAGGCCGCAGTTACCCCATTCCCCATAAAAATATTTTTTTCATTAATTTTTAATTTTAATTTTAAAGAACAATTTACTCTCTTAGATGGTCTTATACAATTGATTGTGGAGTATGTAATCCATACTCAATACTTAAATATAGTGTGCCAGACATGATGCTGCAAGCATTTCACATTATGCTATTATATCTTTGAAATTGCTTATGTAGCACTCTGTGCCTTGTAGACATAGCATTTGATTGCTAAAAACAAATGAAAATAACGTTTTGGAAGTAACTTTGTTTTATGTGTTGTTAAATACATGACATTTAAAAATATTTTGATTGATTAATGTAGTTCTCTTTCTGAAATGAAATTTTTGAGAAGTAACTTTCTATTTAGTGTTTTTCATTGAAATATGTGGGTTTAAAAGAACCCACTGATAATTTCTATGAGAGAATTATAACTCTGACTCTTGTTTTCTTGGTGGCTTTGTGTGTTTTCTGCTCTTTGCTTTTTGCTCTTTTTTCCCAATCAACATGTGTCATAGCTCTAAGTAAAATGCATGGTAAAGCAGTAAGGAAGATTATTCCTTTCTGATTGCACCATTTGTCTTAATTACAAAATATTACAACATATACAACTAGAAAAATGAATTAAAAATACTATTCTTATAGTTATATAAGAAAAAAAGGATCAAAGTTATCTTCATCATTTGGTAGGTTTTTTAGTAAAGACCGAAGTTTATATCCTCATGTGAATGGTTGGGGGAATTATATACTTGTTGGCCACTGTAAAATAGCAGTTAAAATCAGTAGTACTTGTGTCACTTGAAGTAAAACATTTTAAGCAGGTCAGTGTGAAGCAAGCAGTCAACTGTTGGGTTTATCAAATATAAACTCTGACAGAGTACAGCGGCTTTTAATACGCCAGTGGAGCATGAAAAACCTCTGTAAATTAAATTGAGAAAGCGTCTGTTTTTTGAAGATGTGTATCTTTATATTGAACTCCACTTGATGCATTCGGAAGGTTGAAATAGAACATTCTATCAAGAAAATCTCAAAACCTTCGGTTTTCTTCTCTAGAAAAAAATAATTTTTACCGATTTTTAACTTTTTCCCATTATCTCTAAAATGATTCTTAGGCTTATTCCTAAAAATTCATAGTATTTCAGAACACAGAACTTTGTAGAAATCATAATTCCATGGACTATGATAAAGCAGAATATGCAGCTAATATATTCACAAGGTTAAGAGAGAGTTGCCATCTGATTTTTACGCTAAGTGTTTTGCAGTTTTCAAAATCTAGCGGTACTGAAATGTTCAGAACAGTTTTTATTTTATATTTTGGTTTCTGGGCCACATTCAGCAGTGCTCAGGCTTCCTGGTTCTGTACACAGGGATCCCTGCTGTGCTTGCAAGACTGTGTGTGTGGTGTCAGAATTCTAACCAGAATTATAGCCAGAGCAGCCACATTCGAAGCAGGTGCCTTAATTATTAGCTCTCCCTCTGGTCCTTGGAGCAGTTTGTAAATACAGAATTAGAGTCAACCATTATTTCTTCTTTTTACCCTCCCAATATTATTGAAACTTCAAACTTTTTTTTTTTAATATTTTAGCATCACTAAGACACTAAAATTACTGCATGTGTGTTACTGGTTACTGTGGTGAGCTAATGAATTGCATGAATTATTCCTTGATGTTGTTTAACTGTTCTGTATAGCCCTCTCACAGTTTGTACATGGGAAAAAAGGAAGTCATGATGCATAACAACAAGCAAGAATCTTACCTGATTACTGCAGAGTTTCTTTTCAGTTAATTCATATCCTAATTCTTAGAGTGTAGAAAATAGTGAATGTGAATATTTTTTCATGCATGTGAAACTGATACTTTGTTTCATTGGAAAAGTGATTTAGTGCAAATATACGAGAAAAATGAAAGTGCAAAGTGTGATAAAAATTTTGGGGATGGGGCATGTCCAGTGGTGCTCAGGGCTTACTCTTAGTTCAGTGCTCAGGGATCACTCCTGGTGGTAATTGGGGGCCAATTTGGGATGCCAGAGGTACAGCCCCAGTTGACTGCATGCAAAGCAATATTTACTGTACTATTATTTCAGCCCATAGTGATAATAATTTTAAGTGAAAGGCACCTGTAGTTAAATCTCAACATTGGCCAAGCTTCTGGAAAGTATTACTTAATGATTTTTTCTGGAGCTAAATGATATTCTGCAGGTGTTAACATATTCTTCAGTTATGTGTCTGAGATTTTGATGTCTGACCATAAACCTTTTTCAGTAGTTGTTTAGATGGCTTATATTTTATATTTATGGGCTTTTTTTTTTTTAATTTATTTATTGAATCACTGTGGGAAAGGTTACAAAGCTTTCAGGTTTATGTCTCAGTCATGCAAATATCAAACACATTTCCCTTTACCAATACTTATTTTTTACCATGAAGAACCCCAATAAAACCCCACCCCCCACCCCTTCCCGTCCCTGTGAAGCAGATGAATTCTAGTTAACACTCTATCTGCTTTGATTAGATTCATTGTTTCAATAAAAGATTCACCACTATTATTTAGAGTTTACCCCCCCCCCCCCCCCCCAAATCAGACATGCTGAAAAAGCATTGTGAAGTGATTTGCTTTCTACGGCTGGGTTCAAGAATTAAATGTTGGTTTTGGATTTCTGCTCTTTTACCTATTGACCCTGGAAGTATTTCTACTGAAAGTCAGATAGTTAAGAAATTGGTTTCTGTGTTCTGGAGTCCTGGCCGTGCTGGAGAGCCGCTCGCGGGGGGCAACCGGTGGCCTCGGTAGGGCGTGAAGGGCGGACCGAAATGCCCCCCTTCCCATGAGGTTTTAGTCGCCCCCACACTCCCGGCTCATACCTGCTGTCCACAAGGCTCCCATGTGGCCGCCATCTTTCTTTCCAGAGAGGAGAGGGCGAATGGGGCAACACCCTTTCCCCTCCGGCAGACTTGATGGCCTGGATCAATGCAGAGTCTGTTCACTTTTCTGCTCCAAGCTGCTGGGTTCTGCATTAAGTCCTTGTGCTTCTGGGGCCGTGGCCGTGCTGGAGAGCCGCTCGTGGGGGGCAACTGGTGACCTCGGTAGGGCGTGAAGGACGGACCAGAACGCCCCCCTTCCCATGAGGTTTTAGTCGCCCCCACACCCCCGGCTCATACCTGCTGTCCACAAGGCTCCCATGTGGCCGCCATCTTTCTTTCCAGAGGGAGGAGGGCGGAAGGGAGCAACACCCTTTCCATTTATGGGCTTTTTTATGAAAGAGTTTTAAAGGAAAATTGTGTCTACTTTTCTTATAGATGGGTTCACATTGTTTGTGCCCTATATGTTCCTGGAGTAGCCTTTGGAGATATTGACAAATTACGACCAGTAACACTAACAGAAATGAACTATTCCAAATATGGTGCCAAGGTGAGAGAAAATGTTTTTGATTGTATGAAACAGTAAATTTTGATTTGTTGATGTACATTTTAAAAAGCTAATATTGTTGAATGATACTAGTAATACTTATTACTAATTGTGCTATTTCTAGAGCATTTAGTACTAAAATTTTTCTTTTCAAGAGTGATTTATACAGAAAACCTAGAATGTATAAATTCTTCCATGTATTCTTAATTTTGAATCCCCAGTGAGGTGAAGAGGTAATTGATAATAATTTGTTTCCTTAGCATACAGCATGCTGCTTAGTATATACTGATTTTTCAGATCCATGCTTCTTCCCCCCGCTTTTTTTTTCCATAGAACCAACGCTTATTTTTGATTAGCTGGATTATATAGAAATTAAATTTCTAGCTTTTATTTTGAAGTGGAGGCTTACCAAAATTATGAGAAAGAGTTCTAAGAAGCATTTGTTATTTACTTGTTATTATTCAGGTTTCAAGGTCTGACTTTTTCTTTCTGAAGACACAATCTGCCTAGCTCACAGTTTCACACCTCCCTCCCCAACACCCCCCCTCATACACTCACTTCCTCCACCCCTACTCTCTTTTTCTCCCCTCCCCCTCCCCCTTTCCCCTTCCCCTCCACCCCTACCCCCACCTCATGCTAGCATGAATCCAGAGGCAGGCAGTAGTAGCTTCAGTGCAACTGTGGGGTGGCTTTTGTTTATTTTGTATGGAGAAGGTAGATTTCTAGTGGGAATGGTAAGTAATTTTGAATGTTTTGAATAGTATCAATAACATTATAGATGGGTGGAAAACTTACAGATTTCTGGAAAATTCTGACATTGGTAGTTCAGAAATTTGAAATTCAATTTCTGGATGTTACATCTGTTTCTTCATGGAGCTGTCACCCACCTTATTTGTTGACTGCCCAGTCTGCTATTCTCCACGCTCTTTTGAATGTTCTTGGGCAGTTAACTTTTATTGAGGTATCTACACCTTCCTCTTCCAGAATTAGCTATAGCACCTAAAAGAAAAATAAGCCCAAGTATTTAATTTACTTTTCTGGTGTTTTGGTAATTTTACAGTATATTGTCCCTCTTCGATGCCTTGGAGCTGCAGTTATAAAAAAGTTCATATTCTCCTAGTTGAGTGACAGTAATACAAATAGTGAATAAAAAGTTTAAGAAGCCCCGGTCTCCAGGAGCTGCCCAACTTATATTCTGCTATACTTTTATTAATTTTATATAAAAGCTAATGTGGATGTGTGCGCGCGCACACACACACACACACACACACACACATACATTTTACTCTATTTCACAAAATCATTCAAAATAAAAGCAATCATAATGGAAATATCGGCTGGGAATAATACAATTAATGATTCTTCAGTCTAGAGGTATCTGCTGACTTTACTTATTGGTGTATATAATGCCATATTTACATTTAAAATGTATTCCTATTTGAAAATGACTAAAGCGGCAACTTCTATTTCTAAGTAATAGTGTTCCCAGGACCTAGTCCTTGGTAATATTACCCTCAGTATATCACCGGATTTTTGGCTTTATTTACAGAGGATCAGTTTTTTTCACATAAAATCTTATTTTGCCTCGACTGTTTCTTGTATTAACAGATTATTGCCTCTCAATTTGTGTTTGTGGAAGTTCTGTGTTAAATGGAGTCTGTGATCTGCAACTATTTTCACTGAGAAAATGTTATTCTATTGCAGGAGTGTAGCTTCTGTGAAGACCCTCGTTTTGCAAGAACAGGAGTTTGTATCAGCTGTGATGCAGGGATGTGCAGAGCTTATTTCCATGTGACCTGTGCCCAGAAGGAAGGTCTGCTTTCAGAGGCAGCTGCTGAAGAGGTAGATGGGACTTCATTTTTATTCATCTATTAATTTATTTTCTGGGGTCCTCTCCTGCAGGAACCTGGGAAACACCCCCTTAAATACTTAGTCTATTAGTTGTGCTAGGCCTGACGGTTAGGGCTAGTGATGTGGTGCTGTGGGTCACCATGCCTGTAACGTTTTGTGTTTTTCTTTTTTGGGGGGCACATTCCACGATGCTCAGGGGTTACTATTGGCTCTACACTCAGGAATCACTCCTGGAGGTACTCAGGGGACCTTATAGGATGCCTTGGGATCGAACCTAGATCAGCTGTGTACAAGGCAAGTACTGTACTGTACCTGCTGTACTAGCTCTCCGGCCCCAGGCCTATAGGTCTTAATTTTAACCCAGAGATTGTGAATATTTTTGTAAAACTTCTTGTGATTCAGTGTTGCCTATAATGGAAATGTGTTGTAGGAGAAACTTTATTTTGTATTTAACGATTTTGCCTAGCTCTGTGGTCTAAAACTTGAGTAAACAAGTATAAGAGTTTTTTAGTCTTAAAGCTAGAGATTTAGAAAATGTTAAAATTTTGATAGTGAGATCTGACATATGAAATGGAACATAATTTAATGTTTTTCAAAGCATGAAAATGTGTGTGTATAATTTTTGTGTGTATTTTTTTTACAAGAATGAAGTTGTACATAGGTATCTTGCTTTGTTTCTTAATAAAATCATTATCCTGATGTAGTAAATTTGCCCACCAAAGCAATAAATGGTAATAATATTGTAACCATGTTGCCTAAACTATAAAAAACAAAGACAAAAACAAAAAAACATTACCCTGCCCTTAATATCTGTATTTTTATCTTCTTGAGTTACTTTTCTTGTTTTTACACCTGCCCCCTGCCCAGTTACTTCCTGTCAGCCTCTTCTTTTTCCCTCTATTATTTCTATATAAATCCGGGTCAGAGGGGTTAGATACATTTCCCCCTACTCAGATCCCCTTCACAATCCTTTTTAGAGAACTAGCTTTCTAGCTGGCAGCTGCCAGTCAGCAGTCACTAGGAGATACTGATGACCTGAATGAAGAGATTAGTGATGTTTAAACTGTTTGAGTCTTCGAAGGGTGACCAGGAAAAATAAAAGGCTATACTCTGAGAATGTTTTATGAATTGAATTATGGAGATAGTGCAGAGTCTAGGAATAGTCATACATAGCAATTAGGTGACAGAAGTCAAAGAAGACCGATTAAAGCGTTATAATTGAAATTCATGTGCTATGTTCTCAGTTCTATATTGTATTTAGTTCTTCTGGTTTCAATACACTTTTTATTCTGTTACAATTTTAAATATAATTTAAAACATTTTGTTTTGAGGTTGGTTTTTTTTTTTTTACAGAAGTGTTTGTATTTTAGGGGGAATGATTTTATATCTTTGTGGAATACATGTTACCACACTCTCCACCACCTCAGCACCAGGATCTCTCCACTACGGTCCACTGACCCTCCTGTTCTTGGCCATTCTCCCTCCCTCCTCTTCTGGGAACTTGAGCTTTCTGTGGTTTTGAGTAGACTTTGTCTATTCCTTTACTTGATTTCTTTATATCCTACATATGAGAGAGATCATCTTATACTTATCATTTTCCTTGCTTATTTTCCCTCGCTTGACTCCCTACAGTTTTGTCTGTTGTTGCAAAAAGGCAAATATTACCTTGAATGGGAGAAAATACTCACATGCTATACATTTGATAAAGAGTTAATATCCCAAGATAAATAGGGATCTCGAGATACAATGAGAAAGCAAACAACTAGGACCAGAGAGATTATTCAAAAAGCTGGAGAACATGACTGTGTACATAGGAGCTTCAGATTTGGTCCCCGGAACCACATGCTCACCCAAGCCCCAAGTCAAGAGCAATCCCTGTACCTGCCAGATGTGCCTTTTTACTCTGCAGAACATAATACGTCACCAGTCACCAGGATTTAAAACATGCCATGAAGGAATTAGCTGTGTCCATGTATTAATGCAATCATCTTACCTACTTTTTTATATTTTCTTTATATCCACATGAAGTAATTAATAATAAGTTCATTTTAATGATGAGTTAACAGAGATCCTGAAATGTCTAGCAACTTGTTTGCAACTGTGGAAGCTGTAAATAGTGAAGCCAAGATTTGTTTGTAGGTTTATACATTTCCAAATTCTGTGATCTTATCAACAATGCTGTTTACTATGGCATCTATGTATATCATGTTACAAAATTTATATATATGTATAGATATACTTTCACTGTCCTCCCTTTGTTCATCGATTTGCTCGAGTGGGCACCAGTAATGTTTCCATTGTGACACTTGTTATTGTGTTTGGCATATTGAATATGTCACAGGTAGCTTGTCAGGCTTTGCCGTGTGGGCGAGATACTCTCGGTAGCTTGCTGGGCCCTCCGAGAGGGATGGAAGAATCAAACCTGGGTCGGCCAGGTCGGCTGCATGCAAGGCATATGCCTTACCCTCTGTGCTATCACTCTCACCCGTATAGATATACATATAAATTTATATAGCAGTATTAAGAAAGCCTTCTAATTAAAAACTATAGCAAATTCTATTCTATTTTGTCATTCTACTCTAATATTTCTTTTTAGGATTACCATTTCTCTTTGGATTATGAGATCTGATTTTATTAACATAATCTTGCCTTTTACTCTTAGATAAGACATAATATAGCTAAAATACTGTATGACTGAAATCTAATTATGAGTAACTTTGTAAGGGTCTATCTCAGTGATTCAATTAAAAGGTAAAAAAATAAATAAAATAAAAAGATCTTAAAAAAAACATAAATATTGCTAGATAGTGTTTTATTTTCTCTCCTTGGAACAAACCCAAAGAATAAATAGTCATTTTATTGACAGTCAAAATATAGGACCAGTGTGACTGTGTGTGGGAGGTGTGTGTGTGTGTTGTGTGTGTGTATGTGTGTGTTTGTGTCTCCTAACTGGTACTGGTAAGTTAAATTCTCCATGGATTATATTATTTAGAGAGATATTACTACTTTATTTTTGACTAATTTTTAGAGGGACCTATCCAACAGTGCTTGGGATTCTAGAGGTTACTGTCAGCAGTACTAAGTCTGGCTTTGTGAATCTGATGGTCCTATGTCACAGCCCGGAAGAGTCCTGTGCTGCTCAAGCCCAGTGATAGTCTGAGACCACCAGAACAATACCCAGTGTTGCTGAAAGTGGACTATACTGTGCTCTGTGCTCTGAGCTGTCTCCTTGTCCACACAATACTCTTCAGCTATATAGATACAAATTATTTCTGTCTTCATTGGGATAAATGTCCAATTTTGGCACCCTACTTTTTTGTTTTGCCTTTGAACCATACTTGGTGATACTTGAGGTTACTCCTGGCTCTGTTCGTGGTCACTCTACACAGTGCTCCAGGGACCATGACTGTGAGGAATCAAACCCAGGCCTTCTGCTTGAAATGCATATGATCAGTCCTTTGTTATCTCTCTAACCCCTGTACCCTAATTTTTTTTTGGTTAGGGGTTGAGGGATATGTTCTCATTAAGCTAATACCATGATGTTAGAGAGCTCTGTTTTCATTTGAAGTTATAGGACTATATTTAAGGAAGATACCTTAATTTTATTACTGACAAGGCCTGGCATTCCTAATCTATTTGTGTCCTGGGCAGAATCTATTTTTTTCTAACCAGTTAGAAATGCCTGCACTGCCCCAACTTCCATTCAAAACCTCAATCTAGCCCATACTTTATTATGTATTTTCTGATGTTGCAGTTTCATAGTATTGATCTACATATTCATAATTTTAATTACTTTAATGCCGCATTCGCGGCTGTGCGACATCTTATTATGACGTCTTATTATCTCATTCCTACTTTGGACAAACTGGCAGGCTACCGAATGTAACCTGCCCACACGACAGAGTCTGGCAAACTCCCCGTGGCGTACCCAATATGCCAGTAACAATGTATACCAGTAACAATGATGGGTCTCATTCTCCTAATTCTGAAAGAGCCTTGAATATGGCACTTTTTAAAAAAAATCTCAGGGCTAGGACGAAGGAGACGTTACTGGGGCCTGCTCGAGGAAATCGACGAATAACAGGATGGTTGTGATCGTGATCGTGACCAAATGACACATGATGAATTACTTTAATTAAGTAGTTTAATTAAATAGTGATGATTTCTACATAAGATTATTAAATTATGTTTGTTTCAAACTGAATTCCTTTTTAGGTACACACATATAATTTTGTATGTGATTTTGTTTTATTATTTTTAATTTACAAGGATCTTTCATGAAAAAAAACTGTTAATTTGAAAATGATACTTAGAAGTAAGTTCCTAGAGCATCAATCTTTGTATCTGAGTATAAAGATTATGTTTGTAATTTATTTTAGTAAAAAATACACTATAAAAATTTCTTAAAAATATCCTTTATGTTAGGCTTTTAAATGATTATTTAGAATAAAATTACTTATGCTTTATTCCCTCCTGTTTTTGATATAGGATATTGCAGACCCATTTTTTGCTTATTGTAAGCAGCACGCAGATAGACTAGACAGAAAATGGAAGAGAAAAAACTATTTGGCACTACAGTCCTATTGTAAAGTGTCTTTAAAAGAGAGAGAGAAACAACTCTCACCAGAGGCACAGGTATGAAATTCATGCTGAAACTCATTCTCCGCCCCCTCCCCAAGGTTATGAATTTTAAATCTCATACGTGTTTTCAATGAAATGTGAATTATAATTATGAAATTTGGTTACTTAGGATATGGATTGTCAGTAAGGTACATGTAGAATACAGGTTGTGATGACATATTTTGCTCTTTATCTAGTCAATGGAACAGCCATTTGTAAAGCGTATTTCTAAATACATAGAAGCATTAACTTAGACAAGATTATTTTACTGCTGCAGGGCATTGACCACATTCTCCTTCACAACCCTCTTCCCCAATCCCTCCACCCTGTCTATTCTAGTATTCATTTAGGCTAGGAAATTTGTCAGCTTGTCTAGCATTTAAAATTTATTTCTGTGTGAAATAACATTTATGGAGATAATTGCATTCACTGAGAGGAGAAATTCCTGCCTAATCAAATCAGTTTCTCAAACTCTGATCATAGATTAATACTGTTTTTATTAGGGGAAACCTAATTTGTTTTAATTTTTAAAATCAAAGTTTACTTTTGTGAATAGATTTAATTTTCCTTGATAGAGACTTCTGATTATTTTTACTTTCTTTTACCATGGATGTAAAAATTATTAAAAGTTAGATGTTCCATTTTTGTATCTTTTAAGATTTGTATAATTTTCTTTTTTTTTTAATAGGCAAGGATCAATGCCCGGCTTCAGCAATATCGTGCCAAAGCAGAGCTAGCTCGATCCACAAGACCCCAGGCCTGGGTTCCCAGGGAAAAGCTGCCCAGACCACTCACTAGTAGTGCTTCAGCCATTCGTAAACTGATGCGGAAAGCAGAACTCATGGGAATTAGTACAGATATCTTCCCAGTGGATAATTCAGATACTAGTTCTAGTGTGGACGGAAGGAGAAAACATAAACAACCAGCGCTCACTGCTGATTTTGTGAATTACTATTTTGGTCAGTATAGATACAGTTTTATTCATACAGAGAACAATTTGCTACTGAAGATAATTTGAAATGCTGTCAAATTTTAGAATTTGTTAGTCCTGTTTTATATATAAAGTAATGAAATGCTAGACTCATGTTTTTGTCAAGAGATAAAAGTGTTTACAATAGTGTAAACTTTTTTTTTATGTGATCATCTCTATGCTAGCTACTTCCATTGTATATCATATATTCTTTCTTTCACTAAAGTAAAATTGGATATTTAATTTAAATAGAGAGAAATATGCGCATGATTCAAATTCAGGAAAACATGGCTGAACAAAAGAATATAAAGGATAAGTTAGAGAATGAGCAAGAAAAGCTTCATGTGGAGTATAATAAGGTAAGTTGGTTGCCAAGCAATATAATACAGTCTTGTCACTGTGTGTGGGTGTGTGTGCGCGCGCGTGAGAACCTATAGCATTTATATTTATGTTTTCTTTTGAAATTCTTCTGGAGTTTTTAGGGTCTTTCTGTAACTTAGTCCAGTTGTCTTCATTATTATCATATTGAGGCACAGATTTGAGATCTTTACATGTATTAATTCATTAATGTAGTTTACAAAATTGTATAACTTTCAGAGAGAAAACTGATTTATCACTTCTGCATGATAATGAGATTTCATGGGTTTAATTTCCTACTTAGTATATGAATAAATTAGTCAGACATAACACCAAGTTCTCATTCTACCACTAAACAGGCACATCTGCTTATTACTATTATCCCAGTTTCTCATCTGTAACCATTTTTTTTTCACCAAACAACTTTGCTTATTCCATCTATCCCAGCTTCTCTTCTGCAATTATTTTTTTCACCAAAGACACCTTTGCTTATTCCTCTATCCCAGCTTCTCTTCTGTAACCATGTTTTTCACCAAGTCTAAGAGTCAGTTTTATTTTTCTTTGCCAATTTACTTGCTTTCGTTTATAATATGTATGGATGAGATCATTTGGTAATTGAAGTTCATTTTTGTATTTATTTTGCTTAGTGGGTTACCATATCTCCAGTCTCTATTTTTGATTCTTCCCCAAAGGAATAATGCCCATGTTAGATTTCTTTTTTAACTATTTTTAATGATGAGGGAGATAAAAAGTACATGTATAAAAGCAAGATAATGACTGAAACTTCAGGTAATAAATATAGTTACTTTGTAGCTGGTATTATGTTAGATAAGATTTTAAGTGATGAAAATTTAAGTGATAAAAGTTGTTTTTTGGGGGGGGGCGTCACACCTGGCTCTGCACTCAGGAATTACCCCTGGCAGTGCTCAGGGGACCATATGGGAAGCTGGGAATTGAACTAGGGTTGGCCGAGTACAAGGCAAACGCCCTACCTGCTGTGCTATTGCTTCAGCCCCAAAGTGATAAAAGGTTTAAGTGATAAAAAGTTAGTTTTTAAAAATCAGTCATGCTGTAATGACGAACACTGGATTAGGTTTGAAAATCTGAATATTCTTAATAATTTTATAATCTGGATCTAGTCACAAAACCCCTGATGCCATTTATCTTATTGGGAAAAAGATGACAGTGTTTTGGTAGAGTTATAAAAATTACATAGTAAATGTAACAGGATACATAAATGTAGGTATTATTATCATTAATGACGATGCTAACAGAAGAGCATACTTTTATTAGTGCTGCTTAAATTACTAGTGCTGCCTATTTCAGATATTGTGTGTAACTTAAAGTATTAAAATATATAGACTATAAAAATACTGTATATTATTGATAACTTTTTTACATTTTATATATGTTACTCAGCATTTTTTGTCATTTATTTGATTTATTTACATTGTAGCTCTGTGAATCTTTAGAAGAACTACAAAACCTAAATGGCAAACTTCGAAGTGAAGGACAAGGAATATGGGCCTTACTAGGCAGAATCACAGGGCAGGTTAGTTTCTTTCCAATTGCTATTTTCTATTTTTGCTCTTTTTTATCAATTTTCCCACATCAGATTTTTGGTACAAGTGTCACTTTGCTAACTGAAGAATTCTGAGTTAATTAGGGCTAACTAATTCTTTGGGATTGGAAGCTTAGCCTGTGAGTACCTGCAGCTTCATTTGGCTGTCTTAATAGTAATCTTGTTTGTAATTTTTTTTTTTTTTACTTTTTGCTCTGACTAACCTATCATTTGTAGTGAAGTTAAGATATGAAGCATGAATTTACTTCAGTCTCATTCTTTTCTCTAATTTGAATAGTTTTGGATTCTTTAATTCATATCTTTCTGTTCTGTTCTTAGGGTTTTTATTGAGTTTTTCTTTCGAGGGGAGGGATGTAAGATTTAAAAGAAAAACTGAGAGATTAATATTCATGTTGATTTGGTTTTGAACTATGAAAAGATAGTTATTTAAATTTTAATGGTAAAGTATAATTTTTCTTTTGTAGTGCCAGTTGTTACAGTTATGGGAGAATTTGCTTTATCATTGAGTTTTTTTAAGCTGCTAAAGGTCTTGGTGTTGAAAAGAAGCATTGCCAATTAAATTTCTTTGAATGATTTATTTTTATTGTACTGCATATATAATTTATAAAGTCAAATTTACTTAAATTATTTTAGTTGTTTCTTGGTGTGGAGTCTCCCAGGCAGTACTCAGAAGGCCAGTGGCATTCTTGTTCACTGGGCCAGACAGTTTGGTGCTCAGGCCCAAGCAGTACTGGGATCATACCACCTTCTTGGCTGTGTTTGGGAACTTCTACTTCCTGTCAGTTCCCAGGGCATCTAGTCTGTTGGGGATCGAACTTAGCGCCTCACATATGAAAGGCAAGTGTTCAGTGCATTAATCTATCTCCCAATCCTTGGTTGCATTTTTTCAGGGTGATGGGTTCTCACTGTATTCCTGTCACTATGAAAGCTGTTTTATTTCTGAAGGAGGCTTTTCAGAAAACAACTCTATTTTACTTGTTGTAGAGGTTTATAAAAAGTCAGATTCATCATCCGAACTGTATAGATATTGCAATTACAATTATAATTATATAGATATTACAATTGTATAGATTTTACAAGCTATGCTTACTGGTAACTATTGTGTTTACTAGCTTTGTAGGTCTTAATTTTGTGTCTTATGTGGAGTGATAGCACAGCGGGTAGGGTATTTGCCTTGTACGTGGCTGACCGGGCTTTGATTCCTTCGTCCTCTCTTGGAGAGTCCGACAAGCTACTGAGAGCATCCTGCTCCCACAGCAGAACTGGCAAGCTCCCCATGGCGTATTTGATATGCCAAAACCAGTAACAACAAGTCTCACAATGGGGATGTTACTGGTGCCCACTCGAGCAAATCGATGAACAGCAGGAGGACAGTGCTATAGGACAGTGATATATTAATGTGTAATAGAATATATTTTTTGATTTTTTTTTTTGTTTTTTGGGCCAACCCATTGGTGCTCAGGAGTTACTCTTGGCTCTGCACTTAAGAATCACTCCTGGTAGGCTTGGAGGAATCATATGGGATGCTGGGGATCAAATCCCAGTCTGCCTCATGCAAGACAAGCTCCCTGTCCATTGTACAATCTGTCCTGCTCCACACAATATAATTTAAAGGGTGAGAATGCATAGTTGCTTATGGAAAATTGACCTTTGTTCCTATTGATAAGTTATTAAAGGGTTTTTTTAACTTTAAATATTAAAAATTATTAATTATATTTATATTATAATTAATATTATTAATATTAATATTAAACCCATATTAAACTATGGGTTTTAATATTTAAAGAAGAAATGTTGATGCCAGCCTTTTAATGTTTGCCAAACTAACATTATCTTTGGCTTGATTTGAAAGTTAATCTCATAAGGATATCCTGTTTAGTGTGAAACATATTTTAAGAGGACATTTTTATTATTAAATTTTTATCAGAAGTTTATGACTTTCCTTGTGCAAATGTAAAAAACGAAAAAGTGGAAGTAGAATTCATTTGTACTGCTTTGATGACACTTTTTTCCAGTTGGTTGAACAGATGCTGGCCCAACGGGCCCCTGAGAAATGACTTTGATCGATAGTTGCTGTCTGAGAAGCCAGTATAGTATAGATTAGTGGAAACCCTAAGAGAATCTCATTTGCTTTGTGGAAAGTTTGGTCCAATAAGATAATTTTTCTAATTAACCTATGGAACACCAGTGTAGCTTGGATGTTGAGGAAAATGAATGGCTTTAATATTAGTTTTGCCAAATGTGCTATACTTTTTTTTTTTCTTTTTTTCATGTAACTACTTACCTGTTTGCCCATGTCCTTTAGTATGTGAAACTTAAGTCAGGTCTAATTTTCATAATGTTTTAGTGTTCCTCTGTAAGTGATGGAAGTATTATTATAGGTTTTTAAAGGTTGTAATTCTGGGACAGAAACTAATTCTAATACCTTTCTTTATAAGAATAATAAATAGTAAAAGATTTCCTATTTATAATCCCTGCACAGTTGACTTGTGCCAGAGGAAAATGTTGCTTTATTTTTCTTCTTTAAAACTATGTAAACTACATTTGTTCAAATCAATAGAAGTTGAATATACCAGCAATTTTGCGAGCACCTAAGGAGAGAAAACCAAGTAAAAAAGAAGGAGGCACCCAAAAGACATCTATTCTTCCTGCAGTGCTTTATAGGCAAGTAATTATGATAGATCAATATTGTACACCTATGAACTGATATTTTAGCAATGAATGTTGTATATATTTTTAAATGAATTATTCTAATCAGAATTTAAGTTCCATTTTAAGATTTTAATTGAATGTGAAGTTCAGTGTAAAGTGTTTTTATCAGAGATACTTTTCAAGTTGAATGATAGAGAAGTGAACTTACTCATTGTATAATGACAAGAAAAATGACTTGTATTCTGGGAATATATCTACATAAGCTCCAATTCCGGGATGAGATATGGGAAAATTACTATAATGATTATTTTCTAATGTTGGAACCAGTATGTTACGTAAACAGGTGTTAATAGTTTATTTTATATGAATGAGCTTTAGAGTTTTTCCTATTTTTTTTTGTTTTGTTTTTTGTTTTTTTGTTATATTTATTTATTGAATCACTGTGGGAAAAGTTACAAAGCTTTCAGGTTTAAGTCTCAGTTATACAATGATCAAACACCCTTCCCTTCATCAGTGCTTATTTTTCACCACCAAAAACCCCAATATACCTTCCCTCCCACCCCTCCCGATGCCTGTGAGGCAGATGATTTCTACTTAACTCTCTCTCTACTTTGATTACATTCATTATTTCAACAAAAGATGCACCATTACTCATTACTGTTTAGAATTTTCCCCCAACAATCAGAACTGCTAAGAAGGCATTGTGAAATAATTTGTTTTCTTCTATAGCCGGTTATGAGAACCATATGATGTACCATATGAACCATATAAACCATATAAGCTCTGAGGCGGGGGGGAGAGGTGGAAGAGAGAGATACCCTTTCCCTCCCCCATAGACAATTCATTTTTATGCCTCAAGCTGCCGGGCTCTGGATTAAGTCCTTGTGCCTCTGGGGCCTTGGCTGTGCTGGAGAGTCGCTCATGGGGGGCAACTCGTGACCTCAGTAGGTCGTGAAGGAGAGTTTTTCCTGTGTTTTTAAATAGCGATTGGTATCATTTCACACATTCAGAATCTGTTGCCTTTGTGTTGTAGTGGTTAATGGATAAAAGATTTAGATTTGAGTTAAGGTTTAAATTTGAGTCTGTCTATATTTTCTTTCTTTTCTCTATTCTTTAGTTGTAATAATATTTTTTTCTTCACTATTTGACTCATATTTCACCATAAATGTAATTTTATCTAATGACTTAGACCTATTCATAAATTGATTATGATACTACTTTTTCCATATATCTGATTATATTAAGTGAAAAAGGGTTAGAAGAGCTGTACTTACATGAATGTAGATTGATATATATGTGTGTGTATATATATATATGTACATATATATATATATATCCTGAGTTTGATTTATCTGCCCCTCTCGGAGAGCCCAGCAAGCTACTGAGAGTATCTCACCCACACGGCAAAGCCCGGCAAGCTACTTGTGATGTATTCTATGTGCCAAACACAGTAACAACAAGTGTCACGATGGAGAAGTTATTGGGCCCGCTCAAGCAAATCAATGAACAATGGGAGGATAGTGCTACAGATTATTTACAAACAGAAATACTTCCCACAATTTTTTCATAAATTGCAACACTAGCAAGGATAATAGTTTAGGAAATTTTAATTTTTGTTGGTGGTATTTTGCATAGGTAGTAGCAAAGAACTTCCTTGAAATGCTGGAAAAGTCCTGTGATACAGGAAATGTTTTGTGATACAGGGTGGAGACTAGTATGTCTGAAGTCCAATTTTTCAAAATTGACTCATTTGTATCACTAGCTTGCACTTAGGACTACAATCATTTTTATTTCAGTTTTTTTTTTTTTTTTACAAAATGTTTTCTAGTCTAAGCAACTTTGAGACCAAGTGTTGGTTGTCATGCGTTTGTATGTATGAATCCTTCTCTTCTCAGAAAAACTGGTCTTTTTTCCCTCCCCAAGTATTTGAAAAATTAAACATCATTTCATTTTATGCATGAATGATCCTTCTGGGTTCTCAGCATTTCCCTTATTTTGGAGGGAGCAGGGAGGTTTGGGCCATACCCAGTGTGCTCAAGATTTCCACCTGACTATGTGCTCAGGGAACACTTCTGGCTGGGCATTGGGAACCATACTGGGTGCCAGGGATTGAACCCAGGTTTGCCATGTGCAAGTCAAGCACCATACCCTCTCTACCGTCTCTCAGTTTCGCGTTTTTCTCACTTTTACACTTCCAATTTGAATATACGCTGGATTTTCAGGTCTAGAATTCTTTAAGTAGTTAAATTGCCTTTTTTTTGATAAGAAAAAGATATTCCTTAAAAAACAAGATAACAAAGAAAAACTTTTTAAAAAATATCAACTGTTCTATTATTAAACTGATTTTGATAAGAGACTTATTTTCACATGTGGTTCATTTACACATTGAAACAACTTTGAAAAGTTTATAATTACAAATATCAATAAAATATTTTTGTGTTGTAAAACTCTCTAATTTTTGAAAATTTGTTTATTACACATATCTCAAGGAACAATTGAACTAACATTAAATGATTCTAAAATTCTAGTTTGACTTAATCTTTTAGTAGATAAGAGTCCTTTAACTATACTGCATTATGTTGCTCCAAGCCTACTCGGAATTGGGCCGAGCATCCTCCACCCAGATCCTCCAAGTTCCAGTAGGCGGGGGTCTCACCCTCCAGCTGCCCCCCTGGCGCCATGTGATCCCATCAACGGCCAGGACTCAGAGACTATAAAAACCAGCTCCCGGAAGAGAACATTTTATTACGACATCTTATTATCTCATTCCTACTTTGGACAAACTGGCAGGCTACCGAATGTAACCTGCCCACACGGCAGAGTCTGGCAAACTCCCCGTGGCGTACCCAATATGCCAAATACCAGTAACAATGATGGGTCTCATTCTCCTAAAGAGCCTTGAGTATAATCTCAGGGCTAGGATGAAGGAGACGTTACTGGGGCCTGCTCGAGGCAATCGACGAATAACAGGATGATTTGTGATTGTGATTGTGATAGAATCTAAAATAAAGTCATTTTTTCTGTCCTTAAAAAAAAAAACTTTGACTATAGGTATATTTAAATTTATGCCAAATTCAAATTTCCTAGATTCTGAAAAATATCTATTTAGAGCTAAAATCTGTTGACATTATAAATACACTATGAATACATACAGCGATTTCAGTGAAAGTAGTATTTCGGCACTTTCTGTCTTGTCACCCACAGTTGCTCACACCTGCTCCCTTGGAGGGTGCAGCCATTGTCCTTGACTGTATGGGGCACACTCTCTCTTTTGAGTCATTGCCTCTCACCTACGATTTCTAATTCCTTTGCTATGATGCTTTATTTTTTTTGATAAATAGTAGTCACTCTGGAATATCTCTGTCTTCTTATATTTCCAAATATAGTACTATACCGCCCTTAAATAATATATTAGAGATATATACATACATCTATGTATACTTGTGTATATATAATAGATACATATGTATTTTTTGCTAATCAAGATCAAATTTTAAAATTTAAAAACGTTGTATAAATTTACTTTTACTATGGCAATTTTTCTAATCCTTTATTTGGCACCTTTATTCCAGTTGTGGAATTTGTAAGAAGAACCATGACCAGCATCTTCTTTTATTATGTGATACCTGTAAACTCCATTACCATCTTGGATGTCTGGACCCTCCTCTTACAAGAATGCCACGAAAAACAAAAAACAGTTACTGGTAAGTATAGTGGAGGAAATTTGAATGTTAAAACTGGTTTATTGTTCATAGTTTCTTTCATCTGTATAGGATGAAGTAAGTATATTTCTTTGTGATAGTATTTTGAACTTATTTTTTTCTTCCTATTTCTGCTATTCTTTTGGGCCTTCTAGATGACCCTCAAGAAGCCCAGAGGCTTCTCCTGATGATTTTTCACTGGGTCAGCAGTGAAATTTTTTTAGTGAGGATGCACTGCTGCTAATGCCCTGTGATGTCAAAAATTGCCTGGGCTTATTTGGTGATGTTTTGGAGCCTCCAGGGTCAGTGGTGCCCTATGAAGCCACACCTGGTAATACTTGGTGAATTCGTTTTGGCCCCGTGCACCCTGGTCTTAGCTCATTTTTGAATTAATTTTTTATTAGAACTTTTGCAACTTTATTGAGGTATACTTGACAGTCTAATATTTATATTGCTGATAGACTTGATTGTATGTTATATGTCATTAAGACATCTATTATCTCATATAATTGTCATGTTCCTTTTCTTGGTGAGGACAATTAGATACCAATACATATTTGAGTCTAGAGAAATTATATGGAGGGTAAGGCCTTGCACACAGCCAACAAGGTTTATGGTCTCCTGAATACAAAGCCAGGATATTATAATATTATGAATACATCGGTTAAAAAATTTTGAGACATAAATTTTAAATCAATTGAGTATGTTTTAATGTCTTGATGATGGATTTTTCTTTCATTTGTTGTGGGGCTGCTTGCTGAAGTTCTCTTAGTATGTGGTGCTTAGAATTGAACCCAGGGCCTCCAGCTACATCACTGGCTTACCAGTGGCAATGTATGATTTTCTTTTGCTTTATTAAAAGGCATTCTCAAACGCCTCCTTTTGAAATTAAATTTAACAAGGTGTGCTTTCATAGCCATTTCTTCATATTCTATTTATTATTTTGTTTTTTGCTATTTGTGTCGGGCCACACCTTGGTGTATTCAGGGCCTACTGGTTCTACACTCAGGAATCATTGCTCATGGTGTTCAGGAGATCATATGGGGTAGCAGGGATCAAACCTGGATAAGCCACTTGTGGCTCTGTATTGTCACTCCAATACAGTGCCCTCTTATTATCTCTCTGGCCTGCATACATTAATTTAAATTCATTATTGTATTCTGAATTAATGTCATTGAGGTCTTTTAGTATTAAGCTTATCTATTCCTTGCATATCTAGAAACATTTTATGTATGCTTCTAAATTATTACTCATCTGGGCATATTGAATTACTGCAGGCTTTCCTTGCGGGAGGGGTGGTGGTGTGCCTTTGGGTTGCACCTGGCAGTGCTCAGAGATTACGGTTGCCTCTGCACCAAGGGATCACTCCTAGTGGGGCTCAGAGTGCCCTATGCTTTGCTGGGAATCGAACCTGTATTGACTGCTTACAAGGTAAATGATTTATCCATGTCCTACCTCTCTGCCTCCAAATCACGATAGGTAGCTGACAAAAGCTTATGGTTATTTACAATTTTAGTTTTTCTTCATTTTTATTGAAGGGAATGACAGATTTTCAAATTGTAATGAGTCAATTCCTTATCGTAATAGTGTAGTACATGGGAGAACTTTGAAATGAACATGAATGATCTGTTTACATGTTGCCTTTCTGATTTTAGAAGACAATGAACCTTGCATTTATGAATGCAAGATTATCTGTCCTTAAATACATTTGTACTGCCTCTCTGGTTCTCACAGTTCAATTTTGGATTAATCCTCCAGCTCCCCCCACCAATCTGTGTTGCATATATGTGGCATTTTCCATTACATCTATTGCTTATGTTCCTGGTACTATGTTGGAAGTTTGAAATTGACCATAGTTAATAATCATAAGATGAAATTGGAAAGTGCTAAAGGTAATCTCTTCAAGTTAAATTTCTGTAGTCCACTGGTGTACATTCCTGAGTGTCTTCAGTTTCACTAGCTTTTTAAATGCTATACAGACCCATGATAACGATGCTTACTACTATATCCCCTTAAGTATTGCTAACTGGAATTACTGTGCAGCCTGTTATCCGCTTCTCACATACTTATATAATGTATTTTGTTTATTCCACTATTCTAAGCCCCTTCTTTTCAGCTTTTTCTTCCCATATCTGTACTTCTTTCGTGGAGTATTTGTTTTTTTTTATTCTGTATGATATGTGTTTGTCTCACTTTTAGTTTATGTGACTTGTTTCTTTCTTGTTTAGTTTTTTCTAAATATGTAATCTTACATACAGGTTTATATTGTTTTGAAAAACAAGCTTCAGATGAATTAATAAATAGTAAGTGGTCACTATATTACAGGTTTTCTTTTTTGGTATATTCAGCATAACTTGTCATTATGATAAAAAGATACAGACACAAAATTACAAACTTTACTCTTTGCTCTGACAAAGAGTAAAGTCATAGTCCATGGGTTACTTTGATTTTTAAATGTTGCAGTGTCTGTTTTTTAAGGGAAATCATAATCTTTAAAGGGAAACTGTCTAACTACAGGGCCCATCCTGTTCTTCACTTTTTGTAGAAATTGTATTCTTCAGATGCATTATAGAAATCATAGCTAATATTAGAAGACAAAAATAAAATGAAAATTTCTATTTTTTCTTGCATAGGCAATGTTCAGAATGTGACCAAGCAGGGAGCAGTGACATGGAGGCAGATATGGCGATGGAGACCTTACCAGATGGGACCAAACGGTCCAGGAGGCAGATTAAGGAACCAGTGAAATTTGTTCCACAGGATATGCCCCCAGAACCAAAGAAGATTCCTATAAGAAACACGGTAATTTATTTCTTGTTCAACATTATCATCATCCAAATTTTAGGCCAAAATTTAAGAGGTAATAAAAGCAAAGAGTGAGTAAATACCTAAAGAGTCAAAGAAACATGTATGTTGTTATTCTTAAATGTGTATTATTGTACATTATAATATATCATACCTGAACATTTATATTTCACATATTCAACTTGAGCATAAAATAATGGACACCGGTGGGATGAGTGGAGTCTATTGATGTACTTCAAAAATAGAACATTTTCAAAGCCTCACAAGAGCCCTGTAAATCACTCAGTAATCACACCCCCATCCTTCTTGTGCAGAGGTCTCCTCTTTCTTCAACTTTATATTTCTCCTCTTCTTTTTTGTATTACCATGTGCCTGGAAGCTCTACCAACCTAAAATCATTTTAAATAAAAATGAGTGCAACTTTTCTGTTATATGAATAGCATGAATTTCTGTTCAAAACTCATGATAGTTGGCTTATGCAAGAATTCCTACGGGAGAAATATTTAGCCAGGCCGCCACATTTCAAAAACTTCACTCTCCTTGAGGGAGATATAAAGATATTTTTATGGTTTGTTGTTATCATTTATGTTATTTGTTACAGGCTTTTAGAGTTATTTTTTTAAGCTAGGTTTTCAAAAGTTTTTTTTAATTATAGTGATTGCCTCAATTATCATGACCTATAAGAGTCATTACTAAAATAATAAATTTTAATTTATGTATTTCATTGTGAGTTTCCAAAGAAAGCGTGTTGGAGCGTTAGGGACTCAAGCTTCCGGTGATCTAGAACCATTCCCCTGGTTGGCCCACGGTGATAGGCAGGTGGTGGTGGTGTAGGGCGGGGGAGGGGGTGGGCAGAGAAACTGGACACCAGGCTGGTTGGTAGTCAGTTTATTTCTCTTTCCTTCCCAGCGAAGTTCAACCTCTCCCCTTACAGCACAATCATAGGCGTAGTTTTGGTCATAGTGCCAGTCATCATAGTTCTATCCTCCTTGTCTCCTTGTAGACCTCAAAATCCTCTCCTTCTTTATATCTTCTTCCTCGTCTCATCATAGTCTCATAGTCCTTCTTTCCTCTTACAGCTTAGTTATATAACTAAGGGTGGGGGTACACACAGGTGGGGTTGAACATTGTCATAATAACAAACAAGAGGTAAAGCCACTCCTTCAGGAGAAGTTCTAGGAGATTAACTCAAGGACAAAAATCTCATTTTAAGGTTCAGCACTCCAGATTACTAGGAGGTCCGCTGAAGGGCAGGATTCCATCCAGGGTGTATTGCTTTATCCTTTCCTCAGCTAGTAATCCATTTAACCAATCATAGTAAATATGTTTCTTATAATATTTCTAGCATTGTAGCACTGTCCTCCCGTTGTTCATTGATTTGCTCAAGCGGGCCCAGTAACAGTAACGTCTCCCATTATGAGACTTGTTGTTACTGTGTTTTGCATATTGAATATGTCACGGGTAGTTTGCCAGGCTTTGCTGTGTGGACGAGATATTCTCGGTAGCTTGCCGGGCTCTCCAAGAGGGGTGGAGGAATCGAACCCACCTCTGCCACACCGGGTGCACGCAAGGCAAAGGCCCTGCAGCTCTGCTGTCGCTCCATTCATATATTTCTAGTCATTTTTATGGACACAGTAAGAGATACATTAATCTTAAAGGTTGGCTCTTACTGAGGACACCTTGCTATATTTCCAGGCCAGACATAAAAGAAAGAGAAAGGCAATATAGGATTATTAGTACCTGGTGGAAATGGGTGTGCCTCAGGGGCACTGTTGTGGAGTAACTCAATAAATCTAAGCTCCTGTGGGAGGAGCAAGAACAACCCAATGTTATGGAACATTTCATATTCCATATTTATACCTATATCAATTATGCTGCCTTGCATGCAGCCAACATGGCTGACCCGAGTTCCATTCCTCCGCCCCTCTCGGAGAGCCCGGTAAGCTACCGAGAGTATCTGGCCCGCACGGCAGAGCCTGGCAAGCTCCCCGTGACGTATTCGATATGCCAAACACAATAACAACAAAGTCTCCAATGGAGATGTTACTGGGCCCACTCGAGCAAATCGATGATCAATGGGAGGGCCTTTACCTTTACCTTACCTATTACTATTTTATATACTAAAATTTATATATTAAATATCATTTGCAAGAGAGAAAATTTATACAAATTAAGTTCATATTATGTATTAAGTATTATAAAGGTAAAGGCCCTCCCGTTGATCGTCGATTTGCTCGAGCGGGCCCAGTAACGTCTCCATTGGAGACTTTGTTGTTACTGTGTCTGGCATATCCAATACTCTCAGTAGCTTGCCGGGCTCTCCAAATGAAGTATTATATTTCGTATTTATTGAGTTTCATATTTAAAATACTTTTTTTAATTTTTCAATTTTATTTTCACAAAATTACTCACTATAATTGATTACATTCAATATTTTATCACCAATCCCACCACCATTACACTTTTCCACTGCTATTGTTTCGAATTTTCCCACCACCACTCAAGCCTGCCCCACAGGCAGATGCTAAATAATTTATAAAATACTTCACAATCGTGATCATGATCATCTTGTTGTTCGTTGATTGCCTCGAGCAGGCACCAGTAATGTCTCCTTCGCCCTAGCCCTGAGATTTTAAAAAGTGCCATATTCAAGGTTCCTTCAGGGTCAGGAGAATGAGATTCATCAAGTACTGGTATTTGGCATATTGGGTACACCATGGGAAGTTTGCCAGACTCTGCCGTGTGGGCCGGTTACATTCGGTAGCCAGCCAGGTTGTCCAAAGTAAGAATGAGATAAAATGTCTTGAGGCTACAAATGCGGCCACGCGCTTCTGGAAGCTGGGTTTTATACTCTCTGGGTCTTGGCCGTTGATGGGATTACCTGGGGCAGTTGGTGGGTGTGACCCCTGCCTATTGGGAGATGGAGGATCTGGGTGGAGGATGCTCAGCTCTGATCCGAGCAGCCTTGGAGATCTCAGTCCCGGGACCCGCATGCCTATGTTCCTCTGCCAGTACCTTCATGCATGTGGAGAGTGGTCTCAGCATGGTTGTGGCTGGTTCTAGAGGTCTTAGGCTGCTGGGGCTCTGTTTAGGGATAAAATATTTATTGAGATAAAATTATTTTTGAGAGCAGCCAACTAAGTTATTTAACTCAGTATTGTGTTTGGGGCTTATTTAAAACTTAGATGGTAAATCTGAGAATTGTTCTTTTTAGATGACTGAGATAGTTAAATTTTGGTGCTCTAAACTAATGGACTTAAAGTAATTTTATTTGTAATTCCCACAAGTTTAAGAAGCATTTTAAAAAATTTGTAAGCATATTTTATTTACAAATGCACTAGAGGGAATTTATATAATTTTCTCATTTATTTTTGGGTCTCCCAGAGCAGCACAAGAGGCCCAGATGCTGCTCCCTGTGATTCTTGGCCAGCAACCTCAGACTGGCAGCAGTTCAGTGCAAGGCCCCTGTACAGCCAGGGATTTCTTGGGCCACACTCCTGGTACTGGAGGTCTCCAGGGCCACATGGGATTGCCAGGGCTGCAGACCACAGTGTTCAGATACCATGTGGTGGCAGGATTGAACCGGAGTCAGGGTACATGGTAGGCATGAGTACTTACCACTGTACTATCTCCTGACCCTCAATTTCTTTATTTTCAGTAATTGATTGTTTTAGATGACTAAAATAGTTAGATTATTGTGCTCTAAACTGTTCGACTTAAAGTTGTTTTATTTGTAATTCCCACAAGTCTTTTTTTTCTACTCCTAAATTATTTTCTGTAACAATTGGTTTTGAGATCTGCAGCTATTCTTAAGATATCAGAGAAATGCTGTTTTGTTTCTTCTTATGCCCTTGTATATAAGGAGTATCCCTTGTGAAACTTTTAAACTTTATTATTTTCAAGAAATTCTTAGGACCAGTGTTATCTTTAATGTGGAGTTATAGAGTAGAATTTTGCGCATATTATAATAGTAATTTATGTATCGTTTAGCATTACTTCCGATTAAGAGGCTCCTTTAATAACTAAGATAAAAGAGGATCTTTTAATAACTTAATAACTTAAAATTCCTTCTGTTCTTTTTCTAATTTATCTGTTTGCTTCTGTAGACAGGAATTAGGGAGCTTTAAAATTTTTAATATTGAACTATTCTCTGTTTTTTTTTTTTTTTTTTTTTTTTTGGTTTTGCATATACCACAGTAGTGCTCAGGATTTACTCTTGGCTCTGTGTTCAGGGATTAGTCCCGTTGAAATTCAGAAGACCATTTGGTATGTCAGGGATCAAACCCCATAAGGCCATGTGCAAGGCGGGTACCTTGCCATTGTGCTCTCTCTAGCTCCCAACCTATTCTTTTTGTCTTAGTCTTTGTCTTTTTGTTAAATAAAAAATTGTGGGTTTCTTACAGATATTGACCAATAAATAAGAAAGTTTCCAGGGTCAGTAATTTTAGTAATTGTGGTATGATTATTTTCTCATTTGAGAAATTGAATATATATTTAAGCTCTGGTAAATGCTGCTGTTCAGAAAAAAATGATTGTTTTCTCATTCATTTGTTCTATTTTGTTTTTTGGGCCACAAGTGACTGTGCTCAGGGCTTATTTCTGGCTCTGTGCACTGGGATTGAGCGCGGGTGAGTCACAAGTCCAGCTCCCTACCCTCTGTACAGTCCCCTCCAACCTGCTGCATATCTATACTTCATCCAGTTTGTTTGTGTTTTTTTTAATCAAAGAGCTGCTGTTTAAAAAAGAAAAAAAGATACTCCCCCCCCCCCGACACACAAACACATACAACACACTGTGACATAGATTAGTGTGCATCTAGCTTTGGAAATGGGGTTCTAGAATAGCATTTCTTAACCCTTTTGTAGCCTCCTTTCCAGCTATGTTCCTCCCTTGGGCCCCTCCTGTTTTGCCTCCTAATATTTTGCCACTGCCTTCTACTTGCATGCTATTCACTTGTGGCCACTTTGGAATTTCCTGTGGGCCTAAAAGGGGTCATA